TCATGATCAACTGCTTGATTTTGTGTTAGTAGCCTGAGAAGTAGCTTCCCTACATTTGTAGCTGGTGTTTAGAGTCTACTATTTTCGATTAGACCTCTCTTGTTTTGATGGTTAAGGGTCTGGTATTTGTTGGGTGAAAGTTTTAGGTCAGCACCTTGAGGAGGTGGTGTTTGGTCACTGTATGGTGGTTTTGGATTGATGGTGCAAGTTATATTTTGATTTTTTTAGCTCGAGATCATTGTTTCAATCTGCTGGCACTAGCTGAGCTTCTTCATACATTGTGTTTAGAGTTTGTAGAGTTTTATTATTGGCCTTAACTCTTCAGTTAACCTGCTGATTAAGCTTGAAATGAAGTAAGCTTCACTAGGGTGAGCTGTCTTTTAAAATCATTGACCTCAGCTTCTCAATTTTTTCTTGGTATTTATTGTGGTGCTTTCTTGGTACAGTTTGATGAATTCTTTTATGACATCAGCCACCACGAAGTCCCCAAACCTTCTGCATATTTGCTTTTGAAAAACTGCCCCATTCTACCATTTTGTGCCTGCCAGCTATGGTGGTGAACAGTCTGGAACCAAATTGGACCGTTCCGAACTTGACCAAAAAATGAAGTTGAGAAAATATTCGAACTGCAGACAGCAGAGTGTTACTTTGTTCGACTGAACGGAATGAATTGACGAACATTTTAGGCTTTCAAAATTAAAAACTAATAAATTTACATTAGGAAAAAATTGAAAAATGTAATACACAAACATATGTACATATAAATATATATTCATATGCATGTTATTGTTATTAAAGACATACATGTATATAATATATAAATATGCATATATATACAGCTTAATAGCACACTGTATTTCATTTATTGTATATTATAATAACATATAAATATATATATATATTCAATACATATATATATATATATATGTAAAACATACAAATATATAGAATGTGTAAATTATACATATATATATAAATACATGTTGTACTTTCAAAAAATATATATATACACATGTTATTATATATATATATATATTCATTTATGTCTCAAAATAAACTGGTTTGGACTGGACTGGACTGGACTGGACTCCTTGGTCCCTAATCTCATGGACCAAAGATTGGAGCGTATGTAGATCGGTTTGGTCTAGTCTAGACCAAACATGCTGGTTCGGTCCAGTCTGGATCAGACATGCCTGTCTGGTCTACTTTTCAGGTCTGGACACCCTTACTTCTAGAGTTCATACTATGTATTAGGTTTCTTTCCGAGAAACAAGATTCTTGACACAAGGCCAGTTACCTCCTTGTTAATGGAATTTCGGATCTACATAAAAGGTTCTTGTATCCTCTCTCAATCAAAATTTATTTTCTTCAGCAGCAATGAGTGGATTGTGGCATGATTATTATCCTTGTCAATATCGTGAAGTTACAGGAGTACTTTTTGCTTCTCGAGCTAGTTTCAACCATTGAGCTTGTGTTAACTATCTTGTCCAGTCCATCAGTCATCGAAAGAGACTAAATGGTGGTGACTATTGGAACTCAAGCAATACTGACTGAAAGAAGTGGCGACTTAATTGGGCAGCAACTTAGAAATAGTTGCAGATGCTTAACTAGGGTAGTGACTCAATAATAGCAACCGCGGTGGTGTATCAAGATCAGAAGCTCAATGAAAGCAGTGGTGATGGGTTAATAAGGGAGCAACTCAAAAGTAGAGGCTGATCAATTAGGGCAGCAACCGTGCTCTAGTACCATGTTGTTTGGGGAAACATATTTCTCTGTATTTTTAGAGAAAGGATAGATATTATACTTCCACATCAAGAAGAGGATATATATTGACTTCAAAAAGGGAGGATATATTTATAAACATAATTGGTCGAGTTTTCTGGGGAACCTAGATAACTTTTAGCTGTCTTTTCTACGGACTTTCTACAATTACATGAATGCGTATAAATGCATCTACCTACCATTTATGCACTCTTTTACTATATCTACAACAAAATTAAATAAAATACAATTAGAGAAAGATCCATCACTAATTGTTTGAAATTTAATATTACAAAAAGGTCCAATTTGATATTTTTAATAGTTTGAGGGGTAAATTTTTGCTATTGAAATTGTACTGTGCTAATTTTAATGTTAAGTCTAAATTTTTCTGACATTTCCTATTAATTTAATGCAGAGAGATTATAATTTTAGATAAATGTTTGGTTTTCAAGATGCTGAATGTAAACCAAGAAGATTGTTTTCAATTGAAGCTTTGTTCTTGAAGTTTCTTTATATATATTGCTTGCAGGTTTGTGGTTTTGATCTTTTGCGTTCTGAAGGATGCTCATATGTCTGCGATGTCAACGGATGGAGTTTTGTGAAGAACTCTTACAAGTAAGTAAACTTCAAGGGTCATTCACAGGATGTAAATGTTTTCATGATGTTCCTGTATTTATCTGATGGAAAATTATTTTGTGTAACAAATTGACTATCATGTTTTGATGATAGTGGAAAGGAAAAACTGACATGGCCTATAAAATTTGTTGGCCGAGTATATGTGTAAGAACTTTTTTTTGGCACAATTATAACTTGATTTACGGTAGACCTATAAATGACTTTGCTAATTTTATTAGTTACTCCAATTTCACCTTCCAATATGAGTGAAAGGGATACCATGTCACAGCCTATAAGTTTTATAAAATAAATTTTCGTATGAATAAAATACTAGTGGTAAAAAGGATAATAAATCAGTGTACGACCCTTCTACAAATTATTTTTTGTTTTGATGGTTGAAGAATGTGTTTTGAAATTTATGAAATCTTTGATAATGTTTCGTGATTCTTTACTTTCATTTGTTTCTTGGTCCACAGTCTGTTTTGTTGACTCCTGGTGCTGATTTTTTGTTACCATTCAGCATGTCCCCGTGCTTAACTCCCAATTAGCCAGAATTTTCATTCTTCACTTCCATAGTTATATTTTTTTAATAGAAGGTAGCTACTTTATGTGACAATACAGGTATTATGATGATGCTGCTTGTGTATTGAGGAAGATGTTTTTAGATGCAAAGGCTCCTCATTTGTCTTCAGTGATTCCACCAGCTTTGCCATGGAAAGTCAATGAACCTGTTCAATCTTCTGAGGGACTAACACGGCAAGGAAGTGGCATCATTGGCACATTTGGACAATCGGAGGAACTACGCTGTGTGATTGCTATCATTCGTCAGTATGTTCTAGTACTTTATCAAGCCATGTTTAGTTTGTTCACTTACTTTGTCTGGTGGAATACCTTCTTTCTCTTCTTATTCGGCAGTGGTGATAGAACTCCCAAGCAGAAAGTGAAGTTGAAAGTTACTGAGGAAAAGTTGTTAAACTTGATGTTAAAGTACAATGGTGGAAGACCTAGATCTGAGGTGACATCTTGTTTTATTCCTATATTTTATTTTTATTTTAAAATTTAAATTTAAATCTTTATATTCTATCTAGTTTTTATATTGGTTTATCATTGTTGGTTCTCATTTATGTAGACCAAACTTAAAAGTGCAGTCCAATTGCAAGATCTGTTAGATGCCACACGAATGCTTGTACCACGTACGAGGTATTGTTTTGTTGATATGAATATTTTGTTGTCTAAATAATTGTGATATTCTTTTCTTATATAACTTTCACTATTAATTTCTTATAATTATTTAAAATCTTTATTATAAGGAAAATTTTCTTATTTGTACTTAGCAATTCTTGTATATATATGAGTTATTTGTAACATAAAAAATATAGTGGAAATAAATTAAATATTTTTTCCAAATTTTTACATGGTGTCAGAGCAAAATAAGGGTATTTTAGGGTTTTAATTTTTAGGGTTTCTTTCAAACCTTAGAATACTCTCAACACCCACCAAACGGAGTCTTAGCCTCATGGCTGATCTACCGCCCTTTTCCGGTGAGCGTCTCTACCATACTCGATCCCCTTGCTTTAGTCGCGCATGGCTGTTCGCTCGGCCGCTGCTTCTCTTTTGGCTATCTTTCTTATTCGTATAGGCCATCTCTCTCTATTTCGTGTCCGACCCGACCTGCACACCATCTAGTTCTCCTCTGCCCGGCCCTGCATCGCAGACTCGGTTCATATCCCTCTGAGTCGTGCTCGATCCAACCCACACAGCCTTAGTTCGTGCATCGCAAACTCAGTTGGCGCGGTTTCTCCATTTGCGCATCTCCCCGACCCATTTGCCTTGGTTCGTGCACGACTCTCCACGTGGTTTCTCCATTCACGCACGGGTCTTGTTTTGCAGTTTTGCCTTTCATGCGGCCGCGTGCGGTTGCTGTTCTCTTCCACCGTGCGACCACATCTGGCCGAGCACCAGCGGATATGCTCGTTTTTTGGCCAGAATCCGGTGGCGATTTGGCCTCTTGCAGCGCGCGCTTGCCTTTGTCTCCGACTCCAGACTTATCTCTCTCGGATCCGGCACTGGTTCTCCTATCTTGCCAGACAGACTTGTCTCTGATGATCTTCGGTCTCGCAACGTTTTTGGTCTCCATTGGTGTCAGAGCATTTTTTGGCATCCTTCATATTTTTTTCTATCTCGTTGAAATTAGCAGCTGAATATTGTTCTCTATCTTATCAGTGCATCAAAAAATGGTAAACTTAAGTATTGCTCATTTCCTTACTATTTCCAATTCTGATACTTTAATTATAGACTTTGGAGCTAACAGACACATAACATACTCTTCTAAAGATTTTCTGACCTATTTTTCATGTACTCAATGGAAAAATGTCCATGCAGCCGATGGATCATACACTCTTATATCTGAAACAGATTCCATTAATTGTAATCCGACCATTCCACTGACTTCAGTTTTTCATGTGCGTAGTTATTCTGACAGTCACCTATCTATTAGTGCCCTTATTAGAGATAATAGTTGTAAAATTAAGTTTTTTTATGACCATTGTGTCCTTCAAGATTTTCAAATAAGAAAAACAATTGGCACGGATAGATTTTAGGATGACTTATATGTTTTGAATAGAAGTCAAAACATCATTGGGAATCAAGCTGCCCTTGAAGGTACGGATGTCAATAGGGAAAT